GGGGGGGGGGGGGCAGAGGAGAGCCGGACTGGTGGAGTTCGAGGAAGCTTGTGGAGGGCAGAGGTGTGAATAACTGTGTCAGGACTCTATGTTCCTGCCCTGGGAGGTGAGGCCAACCGCCTTGACCCTTGTCTGTGGGCGTTGGACACAAATAAGCCCTCGTTACGAATCTCAGTTTACTTCTGGCTCACCTGTGACACATGCCGTTCCTGTCACCCTTCCTCTGCTCTCAGGCCTTGCAAGAGCAGCATGACTGTACGGAGAGGAAATGTTTTGAGTTTGATGGATGTGTGTGCAAGTGGTGGGAGTGGGGTCAACAGGTGATCTGGGGTTTTGGGGAACGGCGTGCGGGAGAAGCATTGCATCTCACCGAACGCTTCTGTTGTTGCAGGAGTGCCGGATTGCGCATCCCATTGTTAAATGCACTTACTGCAGGACTGAATTCCAGCAGGAAAGGTAAAAGCCTGCATGGGGAGACTGATGTTTTCTTTAGAGCAGACGCATGTGGGGAACTGTAATTTTTCCACACCTTCAATGACTGAGCCTTAACCTGTAGATTGTTGCTGTGGAAAGGTTGGGGGACCTTTGGCCTTCTTCAAAGGCTGGGCAAGTTGGTGTGCCTCTTCAGTGTCCTTAGATTTGCACCTTTTGCTGATTTTTATTTTTGGTCAGTGCTTTGATGCATCCTCCAGTGAGGGTTCTGGGTTCAGTTTCCCACGAGGTTTCTTCTTACTAATTTTTGATATCCAAAAATAATTTCCTAATGTGTTTCCTTTAGCTGCCTTTTTGCATTTTTGCACGTTACGTGGCTTACAGAGGAAGGATTGGTAAACCTAGTAGCTGCTTGCAGGCATTGTGTGAGGTTTTTCCTGTGTTTGTTGGACACATAACACCTCTGTTCTGACCTGCCTTAACCTCATCACCCAGAGCAGACCTCCTCCAGAACTGAGTCTGTCACCAGTGCTGAATCACGCCTGCTGCCAATTAGCTGGCGATCAAACTCCTGTATTTGTAAGGACTAAAAACTGGTGTCATCTGGGGATGCCTTAATTAAAAGATACCTCCTAGTAGTACCACTTTTTGGCAAATTATCCTCAACCAGATGGGGATAGGAAATGCACTTTGATATCAGGGTCCCCAGTGAAGATGAATACAATCTCACCACTAGAGACAGAGCCTAGGGGAGACTGGGATCCTAACCACAGAGGTTTAATTTTCTTTAGGGAAGCGTTAATAGAAAGATCTGTCCTTCTTTTTAACAGCAAAACCAACACGATATGCAAGAAATGTGCTCAGAACGTGAAGCTCTACGGAACAGTAAGTGAGCAGGGCTTGTTCTCACCAGTCTCTCTTCCTTTCATCTTTCTTGTCTTTATCCTGCTGAATCCCAGAGCAGTTTATGAGCGGGCTCTATTGTAATAGCATGACTGATCAATAACACACAGGTCCCTCAAGCATGAAGCTGTTACCTTTTCTCTTCTTTTAGTACAGAAAAGAGCAGCTTTGCATCATTTGAGGCCAGGAAATGAGCTATTCAATATCCAGTAGAAACAAGAGCATGCTTACACAAACTAAGATTGCTGCAGGAAGCTGTGATAAATCTTTCTTGCTTCTCTGAAATCTGAAAAAGCAATTTGGATTGTTTCTATTTTGGGAATACATATTTTCTAAAGATTTCATAGCACTTGATAACTCGTCTAATGGGTGCCATGGCTAAATACACTTAGCTAGAGACCAGGGGTCCAAGGCAGGTAGGTATGTCTCCTGGATCAGCATTACGATTAGCTTGGAATGGGGAAAGAAAAGTTTTGAAGTGATGGGGAGAAGGGGAAAGAGCAAAGTATTAATGTAATTAGAAGGCACTGCTGTATTGGTTGTTCTTGTTTCTTAAAGCCAAAACCCTGCCAGTACTGCAACATTATAGCAGCATTTATTGGAAACAAGTGCCAGCGTTGCACAAACTCTGAAAAGAAGTATGGACCTCCACACTCCTGTGAGCAGTGCAAGCAGCAGTGTGCGTTTGACCGCAAGGATGACAGAAAGAAGGTCAGTATCTCTGTAAAAGAAGACCAGAAAGGTAAAAAGGCTGATCGCAGTAATCGTCTGTTCATCTCTTTCACATATTCTCTAGAATTTCAGAGGGGGTGACTCTTGGTTATAAAATGTTTTTCTGGAGTTGAGCTTTGCTGTGGGAGCAGTGTTGTGGAGCTGTTTAATCTTTGAGCCCCTCTGCTCCTTTTCTAGATCTACTGAGAAAGATCCTTGAATTTGGCCTAAGGGAAGGTGGGCTGGCACAGGAAAAGGGGCCTCTGAGTGAAATGTGAGGTACCTGCTCGGGGAGAGGGATGGGGACAGATATTTGTGCCGTAGCCTGAGGATCTGGCAGTGTCATACCTCCACCAGAATACCCGTTCCATGGCTTCTGCACATCCTTTCTTAAACAACATAAGCACTCCTTAGGAAGCGTGTATTTCTAAGGGTATAAATGCCTGTGGTTCGTTGGGGTGCTGCACTGATAATCCCTGTCCTCCTGCTCATCCTCCTCGAGCGGAGACCCTTGTTGTTCTGGTCTCTGGTGACTACCCTGTCACATACCATTCTTTGGCATTGGCTTGTCAGAAATCCCCCATGAGCTTCCCTGTCCTGGTGGACGGGTGCTGTAAGCAAAGCTTAGCAGAGCTGTAGTTACGATAGATGAGTACTGTCTGCATTGCTCCGGCCACTCCAGATGCAATAATCACCCTTTCCAGGCATTCAGGTGATCCTGTTTGAGTCGTTGCTTGTTCATATGTGACCTTAAGCCCAAAGGTGCTTCTTGTTTTCTCTGTGTTTGGTTTGTGGGCAGGAAGCAAGACCAAAACTTCTCTCCTTCTCTGTCTCTCTCACCTTCCAGGTGGACGGAAAGCTGCTATGCTGGTTATGCACACTATCCTACAAACGGGTCCTACAGAAGACCAAAGAGCAGTGCAAGCACCTGAGCAGCTCTTCCCGGGCAAGCCTGCAGGAGAAGGAACAGTACAGTCGGCTCAGCAGCGGCAGCCACTATAACAGGTAACCTGCGTGAGGGTGGTTTTTTTCTGTTGTGCAGGGCAAGCTTCCCTCTGGGGTGAGCAGCCTGGCTGCTCCACGCTCCTCGGGTGCGCTTCCTGAAGTAACGGGGGGAAGAGCCTGAGGGCTCAGTACCTTGGTGATGGATTTTGGCAGTTGTCTGTTGTTCAGGAGAATCTGGCTAAGTCAGGCTTTGCTAGTTTGGAAACCCCACTGTGCTGGAGTAGACTTGTAGTCTGACAGTGCTTCTTAGTGATTCAACTTACTGAACTTGTACGCAATTACAGCTAAACTGGATTTGTAAAATTGAATGATTGAAATGTAAATTTTAAACATGAGTTCTTCACCTACATGCTGATCTGACTGATGCATTGTTTTCTGTTTATTTTTAGTCTCCAGCTACTCTTCAAGGAATGAATTTTTTATCATTCTTTCTTGTGCTAGGAAATACTGTTTTAATAGGTTCAAAGTGGGTGGGAATATTTATCTGCTTCCCTGTCTTAGACTGCAAGTCATTCAGTTTCTGATACACAATTTCCTCATTGTTTCTAGCCAGAAAACCTTATCCACCTCTTCTATTCAGAACGAAATCCCAAAGAAGAAAGCCAAGTTTGATGCCATATCTGCCAATGGTGACAGGTGAGCCTGTTACATGGGGAAATTGTGGGTGGGAGGTCTTGTTTGCTAAGTTTATGTAAGACAGAGTTCTGTGTGAATAGCAGGAAGCTCTTATGCTAGAGCAGGGATCTCGGGCTCTGGGACCTTGAGGGGCTGCATTAGCAGCTTTCCTGAACCTGGCAGGCCAGTGTTACTTGGTATTTAGACATAGGCTTGAAGAGAAAAAGAATACCTAGTACTCATACCTGTTAGAATAGAAACTGCTTGTTGGCTGAGCTCCCCTACAGTTAGAAAAACCGCAGCCAGCTCAGCTTTATCCTCTCCCTGCAATTACAGGGAGAGGGGGGCTCTTGGCTGCACTGTAGAGTTGATCTCTGCAGGTTTTGTGCTTTCGGGAGCTGAGAGAGACAGCCCCAGAGGAGAGCCAGGATTGAGACCCACCTCCCATTTCCCCTCCTGCCTTCTGGGGGAGGGCCAGGCAATCAAAGCACTTTGCTTGAAAGCATCCGATCCCGTTCTGCTGCCGCAGTTTGTGCTGGATTATGTTGACGCCGGCTGCAAGCGCAGCAGAACGGGAGTCACTAGCAGAAACAGGAGATTGAGATGGATTTTTATTTTTTTATGGTCTTGTACATGCATATTTTCATTCCTGCCTTTCCTCTCTGATTCTCAGCGTTCCTTCCTCTCCCGAGATGCTTTGTCCCCCTATCCAGAGTGCCCCGTCCACGTTGGCGCAGTGGGCTGCTTCCCAACAGAGTCTCGGTGCCCACCATTGTCCTGTTTCTCAAGGCACTGACATCCTGAAGTGAGATCACCTGTTGTTTTCTCCCCTGTTGCCCTCCCTCCCCGGGAACTGCCTCACACATGGGAACTGTCCCTCTCGATGGATCTCTTTCCAAACAGCTGTGAATTGGGAGCACAGACCAGAGCATAGTCTCATTAGTGCCAAAGGGTCTGTTAAAACCGCTGGTAATTAATTAATCACTACCTGCCTTGAATATCTTTGAGATCACAGTTCACATCTCTCCTATAGATACTATTGGCCCCTTGTCAATGTTTGTTAATATGTGAAATGCTACCATGGGAAATAGAACTTAAATATTATTTTTTAGGGCAGTAGTTCCCACAGAGTGGTCTACAAAACCATTCATCAGCTGAACGGTGCTTTCAGTTAAAAGTTGGAAAAATTTAAGGATTAACTGTGGCTTGGGAGCTGCCTGGAGAGGTCAGAGAATTCATCTGACTGCCTCAGTGCTGCTGGAGCCAGAGGAGAGGCTGGTCCCTGCTAGAACTGGTGCAGCCCATCAGTATTGCTGCAGCTTTCGCTCTAGGGAGGCTCCTGTGCACCTATCAAAGCTGCTCTCCGGCCCATAGGACAGCACCAGGTATTTTTATCTGCCCACTAAAGCCTGGGCTGAGACCTAGCAACTCATTGTAACCTGCCTGCTGGCTTGGAAGTAGCCAAGAAGCAAAAGGTCCCGTGCTCTGGCATCAATTCCTCAGCATTCGTTTGCAAAACAGGAGTGTGTATTAGAAGAATCAAATGCCTTCACTTTGCTCTTGTGTCAGATGTTGTCAGGCTGGCTCCTGCCAAGGCTGTGGTCCTTGCCACAGACTTCTTTTGATGAATCCCAGTAACAAACTGTGTAATTTTAGCAACTACTGAAGAGCTCCAGCACTGTGCTGTAGAAAAGGCAAGCTGCAGCTGCCTTAAATAGACACATGGCTGTGTAGAATAATAATGGTGAATGGTGGTTCGTTGCATATTAGAGTTGCTGGGGGTTTCTTTGTGAGGATGAACCCCTCCAAACGCCTCCTCTCTTGCACCATTTTCTATAAGATTGGCCCCCCCAGAGTCAGCCTGCAGTCTGGCTCACAGCCCGAGTGTGGAGTTAGGGTCTGCCGCAGCGCAGGGCTGTTTTCAGCAGCAGCATAGTCTGGAGTGGGGTGATACACACCCAGCACCTCTTCGCTGCTGACATCAGCCACAACGTTCTGTACACTGTGTCTTGGCTCCAGCCAAACTTCTGCTGCAGCCTTCAAGTGGGCAAAATTTGGGCGTACTTGTGTTTTGCTGATTAAGGATACTAATTAAACTCGGAGCCCTAGCATTTCAACTTGAGCTCAAGTAACTTTGGCAATGCCTCCAACGGGGTCCAGCTTTTCTGAAATCATTGCTCCTTTTTGGGTACAATAGGAATTCCTTTACCATGTCTTACTGAATTCCCTCTGTATGTTTTTTTTTTTTTACGTATTTCAGAGTGGCCGTTGCTCCCGATGACCGTGATACAGGGACTGAGCCGTTTCCAACGGTCACTTAATGGGTGGCGTTGAGTGGTTCGTCCTGGGTGAGCTCTGTGAGGAGCTGACAGCACTGGTCCTGCTGCCCATGGAGTAGTTTTCCCCCGCAGCGACTCTCAGCTCATCTTGCAGCAGACTTTGCCCTCCTAACCCCACTGTCCCACCAGTGCCCCTCAGTCTTGGGCTGCCCCTGCCTGTGTGAGCACCCTGGCTTCACCTCCAGCCTCTGGTGCTGCCCTGTCCTGGTTTGGGCAGCACTGGGTATCGCCAACGCTGCCACAAGTGTTTTATGTTACAGCCTCTGCAGATGAACACACTGCAGTCCCTTCTGTGACTACAGACAAGGTGCTAAATTGTGCTTTTAACACCAGGCAGTGATGAGCTACTAACTGAGCTGGCTGGGGGAGGGCAGCGATGCTGGAGGATGCTAACCAGCAAAGTTCATTTAGTAAAAAGATTCTCATTTGCATAGAAGAGTCCTGGCATACACTTACAGCACCAGGACTTGTGCTGAACTGTGCCTGCTTTTGGTGGTGTTAGAGGAAGGGTAACTCCAGGTGCCTGGATGGATTTTTGCACATGGGGATCTTTTTAGTCTAGGGTGAAGCTTGGATGTTGGTTCAGTCAGCCTGATGTGTGCCTCTTTATGCTAGCCTGACTTGAATAGCAAAATCTTTAAGCTTGGCATTTGTTTTGCCTAATTTCAGCCATTTAACAGGTGTGGAGTTTAAGGTAGTCATTTTGGTTTCTTTTCCACTCAGTCGAGAGGCAGGTGTCTTTGGAAGAGCTCCATCTTTCTTCTGTCTCCACTGAAAGCAATGGGAGCTCATCAATTCACTTTAATTAGAAGCAGGCATTTTAGACTGTTCAAACATGGAGAGCACATGCCCCCCTGACCTTTCCCAAGGGGCTGGGATCCTGGGTATGGAATTTATTTGTAGGGAAAATGGCTTTTTTTGTTGTCTGGTTGTTTTAATTTTTAATCTCTTTGTTAAAGGAATGGAGCGACTTGTATTTGGCAGTTTTCCTTCTAATTTTGGAGTCTCAGGCTGCTTCCTTAATGCAGGGTTAAAGACAGAGAAACCTTTCATTACTAACTTGTCAGTCTTTCAAAAAAAAAAAAAAAAACCAACAAACAAAAAAAAAAAA